GAAGCTGGTCCTAGTGGCATTAAAAGAAGAAGGGAAGTAACCCCCCAGAAAAGGCTCGAAAACCTAAAGTCTTTAAGGGAAGGGGTTTCCCCCTTCTAAACACTAACACTCTCTCTCCCCCCCTTCCCATCCCTTAAATTTCCCCCCCAATCACCAGATCTTCAAAAAAAGTAAGTGTATGAAAATTGGGGCATCCCTTTTTTCAGTTTGTGTGTAAAAAAAATTAACATTTCTTTTGGAAAAAAATTTTTTTTTTTCATACTTTTGGGTGTTTTGGGCACAAAATTAATTTGTTTTCCCCATTTTTCTTAGGGGAAAAATTTTTTCGCTTTCCCGAACTTTTTCGCAAAACAGCCAGCCCTCTTGAAGGATTAAGGTCGCTATGCGGGGGTCCCATGTATATAAAAGGTATTTTTGTACAAGTCAGTTTTTAAAAAATTAAATTCAAGAGACAGATGTTCCATCTTATTTTTTTCCCAAAGGGCCCAAGCGAGAGACTGTTCTTAAAATGGCTCATGACCTCCCCAGTGGCCAACATTTCTCGCTTTCGAAAAAACCTTAAACAAAATTGGGGGGAAAACCTATTTTTGGCCAAAAATGTTCTCAGAGGGTCACTACCTATTGTAGATTTTGGGTAAATTTTCCCAAAATGCCCACCCTCCCAAATTTACCAGGCGAGTACCTATGGAAAAATGCCATCTTTACGGAAATTTTAAAAGAGGTTTGAACGTTGGCCCCTTTATCTCCATTTCATCTGGGGGACATAGATATATTTTAACATTAGTTGATTATGTTTTGGGTTTTTCCCCTTTTGAAGCCATACCCCTTAAAAGCCCCATAACCACTACAGAGGGGCTGAACCCCTTTTTGGGTCCTTTCTTCCCCAAAGAGTGGGCTTTCCCTAGAAAAAATTTTGTCTGACCATGGGACACAATTCAAAACTAAACTTAATCAACATCGTACCAACTTCTGGGATTTGAAGCCCTCTTCACCACCCCCCTATATCCCAGCGGGTAAGGGGAGGATTAAACCCTCCAGCATTCGATTTTTCAAGCCCTTTTAAAAAGGGAAAAATTTTGCCCCCCTTTAAACCCAAAGGGAAATTTCATTGTTCCCCTACCCTGGGTTTGGGTTTGCCATGGGGGAAGTTCCCAGGGACTTTTTGGGGGTTTTTTTCATTTTTTTGAACTTTCTAGGGTAGACAGGCCAGGGGCCCATTGTCCATCCTTCATAACTTATGGACAAATGAAGAGGTGATTGCTGAGGTTCAGTCTTCTTACCATTTTCCCCTTTTGACCTTAGACCCCAAATTTTGGGGAGACCCCCCCCTTTTTTCCCCGAAAAACCAAAGCTTGCCCAGGGGCCCATACAAAACCTTTTTTAAATTCCCCAAAAATTCAGGGGAAAATTTTAAAGTGGGGATAAAGGGTTTTTGTACTTTTGCCAAATCAAGTCAAATAAATTAAAAGTAGCAGGGAAAGGGGCCCATAAAAAGTTTTAAAAATTTGTGGGAAAGTTGACCCCCCTCATAAAGTAAAGGGGGAAACCAAAGTTTTTATCATACAACTTTTCCTTAAGAAATATTACCGAAAAATTTTTTGGGTTTAACTCCCTTTAAAATAACTTTGACTTGGGTTTTTCCACACAATTTTTGATACGAAAAAAGAAAGAATGTAAGGTGTGCGAAATTTGGACACCTCTAATTTGGGGATTTATGATAAAAGAAACTCATGATTGGGTGACTCTTGCCCATTTCGGACGAAACCGTTAAAAATTAATGAATTTTTGGAGGGCCATAAGAGAATGAATATTTCCCCAAAATTTTTTTGGGGTGAGTAACTTTTCAGACGTTTTTACTGATATTCCAGGTGTTACCTCCCGGAAAAGCCCAAAAAGGGATTAAAGTGACGGAAAATCCTATCAAATGAAAATTATACCCATTCCAGTTCCCCTTGGGGAATGCTTTGACTAGAGGTAAAACAAATTTTTAAAAACCCTAAAAAATCATTAACCTTCATATCTTCAAAATTTTTTCACCAGTAGTCAGGGTTAAAAAGGAGGAAAATTCATATAGACTTGCTGTTGACTTCAGGGGGCCCTTAAATGCTAAAACCCTGGGTTTGGGTTGTGGGCCAAACCCCTTAATAGTATTTGATCTACACAAATTTATGAGTTTCCCTTTCCTTTCAGAGTTTGATATTGTGCGGCATATCATAAAGTAATGTTTTAGTTTTTCCCCTTCTTCAAAGAGTACCCCCTTTTTTTTCCTACACAAAAAGGGGACTGATGAAATATAGAACTATGCCCTTTGGTTTTGAAACCTGCCTGTGTACCTACGTGGACTGTTGAGAAAGGTTTTGGGGTTAATACCCAAAATTTGTTTCAGTTTTTTTTTAAAAACATTTACGTAATACATCCAGGGGGGTGAAAATATCCAAACTTTAAAAATCAGTTTTTGCGTGGTTATGCTCACAGGGCCTCATCCCAAAGGCCGAAGAAATGCTTCCTTGGGTATAACAAAAATTAGTTATTTTTGGGACGATATTTTTTTTTAATAACTCTCTGCATTTTCCCTTCCCCAGAAAGGGATAAAAAGCTTTATTAAAATTTTAAAACCCTCCAAAACCAAAGGGAAGCCCCATGCGTAGCTTTTTTTTTTTCGGGAAAAAAATTTTTATGCACGGTTTACCCGGGGGAACCAAACTAAATTTAAACGGATCTTTTTTCAACTTCCTTAAAAAAATCTGTGAAGGAACCTCTTGAACTTTCCGACGTAGCTCGGGAAAAATTTATTTAAAATTTTAAAAATAACCCTTTTTGAAAAAACCCCATACTTAAGATTCCAGATATTAAAAAACATTTTGTTTTTTAAAAAAAACTGGGTGCCTCCCAAAACTGGGGGTTAGGTTTCGGTGCTACTACAATACCATGATGGGACTCCCCTTCCCCTATGCTTCCCCAACCGGGAAAATCCCTTCCCCCAGAAAAAGAAATACTCCAATTGAAAAGGAATGTTTGGCCCTTGTGGGGGGTAAAAACCAAACTTAAATTTTTTTTTGCTGGGAAAAAAATTCATTTTAGAAAGGGGCCCCAAACCTTTATTTTACCCAGAAAATTTTAAGGGGAAACCCAAAAGTCGCCTCTTGAGGTGGACCCTTGGGACTCCCGGCTTTTAAGTTCCTATTGTGTATAACAATGGGTTTATCCCAAATTTTTTTCTTTGACTATTAATTTTTGACAGTCGTAGAAAATTTCTTGCCTTACCGACTTCCATATTTTGAAAATTTTTCCTCCCTTTTTTTTATATCCTTGACATAAGTCTTGGTATGGGGGGGTGTGAGGGAAAAGTTCAAAGATAGGAGTAGCGAGGGGGGGTAATAGTAAAAATAGTTTTTATTGCCGGGTACTTGTTTTAAAGGGAGGGTAAGTCAAAACTCCCGCTATTTTTCCCCCTTTTTTTGTTTTCCCCCCCCCGAAATGATAGTTTGACTGCCCACTGCTTGTTTAAAGGGAAAGGGGCAGAAAAGCTCCCGCTATCCCTTCCCCTCCTTTTCCCCCCCCCCCCAAAGGTTTACGTTTTGGGGGGCCGGGCCAAAAAAGTAATCCCCTAGAAATCACAGCTCCCAAACCTACTGTAAGTACATGCCTGCCTTCAAATTTAAATGGAAATTTTTTGGTTTTAAAGCTTCACTTTTTGACCAAAATAAAATTTTTGTCCCTTTTAGTCTTTCTCCAAGGGGGACTGTTGGGAAATCAAACCCCATCTTTTTTGGTATTGTACCCTTTTCATGGAGAGTGTTTCTTAAGCAAGGGGTAACCTGTCTATCTTCCAAACTTGGGTGAAAAGAGAGAGTTTACCCGCCAATCAACGAGTGGAAAATTTAGGGGGTGGGAACTAACGCCTGGGGATTCCCCCTTTTTGGGTTTAATTTTTTGTGACCCCGTATGAAAAAAATTTCAGGGCGTAACCCCTCATCATTGCAGCGGGAAAAAACCCGCTTTCCTGTCATTGGGATTTTAAAGGGGAAAAATCCCCGGCTAATTTTGTGAAGAACGGGCCGGGGGTTGTCATCAACACCCGCGACCCCCCCCCCCAAAATCATCGGGAAGGCTTATGATTTCAACAACACACATGCACCAACACCAACCCCCCAATTTTATTTAGGGATTGATTCAGTTTTTCATTTATATTTTTTATTTTTCATTTTCTTTTAAAGTAGGTCAAAAATTTCATATTTAAGTGTTTTTTTAAATTTTTATTTTTTATATATAAAGTGTTTATGTTTTTCAGTTTTTTAAATTTTTTTTCTATAATTAATTTTCCCCTTTGGAGGACCAGCCCGGGAAATACTGTCCCGAATTGGTTTAAAAGGGCCCGAGTAAGCCCCACAAAACCATCTGCTGATTTTTCAACTCCCCCCAAAAAACTGAAAACATTCACTTATTCCCTACTCCTCTTCCCCAAATTTTATACCCCAATTTTTCTTTTTTCTAAATCATTTGATACCCCCCATTTACCTTACCTTTTCCCCAGTTCACTTTAAAATTTCTGTCTTTCACCATCCCAAAATTGTCCATAAATCGCAATTTTTTTTTTGAATCACCATAAGGACAGTACATCAGCAAAAAGTAACTGGTCACTCCCATTTTTATTTGATTCCCCCTAATTTAATCCCCCCTCTCCCGAACACCTACATTACTCTTTTAAACCCCATCTATAAATAATTAAACAAAAATGGTGCATTTCACATCCCTGTCTAAGACCCACTTTTTCTGGGAAGTAGTCCCCTTCTTTAACACCTAAACCCGAGCCTCACTGTCCTTTAAAAAAATTTTACAAATTTGAACTTACCCCTATTCCAAACTTGAAATCTGCCACTTTGCCCCTTTATATAAAAAATTATCGTACTATATTCATTTTGTGGAATAATCTCGTAGCTTATGTCATTGACTGTCCATAGACATAATCTTATGTCTATGGACATCAGATTAGTCAATTTCTGAAGTTTAACCTGTGTATATTATATAAGACTTCAGTTCTTCATCCTTGGAAACCAAACTCCTACACTAAGACAAGGTCAATACAGTGGACCCCCGCTTTACGATCAGCTCCCAATGCGACCAGTTATGTAAGTGTATTTATGTAAGTGCGTTTGTACGTGTATGTTTGGGGTCTGAAATGGACTAATCTAATTCACAATATTCCTTATGGGAACAAATTCGGTCAGTAATGGCACCTAAACATACTTCTGGAATGAAATAATATCGTACACCGGGGGTCAACTGTATTGCCTTGATTTGGTATTTATAAATTTTACCATTGATTCTTCAGTAGATTTGACTGTTTTTTAAGATTCATGTAAATCCACTCTAATTGCAAACAAACCTTTTGATTTTCTAAATTTGGTTAAGCTTCATGTGAATCAGAAATAATTCCTGTCCAGTTGTTGTACTTGGAATGGGCGCGCTTCGGCAAGTGGTACAAGAAGCAACCTCTGCACGTTGTCAGACGGTATTTTGGGGATAAGATGGCCCTTTATTTTGCATGGCTGGGCTTCTACACAGAGATGCTCATCCCAGCATCCATTTTTGGAGTCTTCACCTTCATCTGTGGCATCTTCTTCATGTTTTCCGACTTTAATAAGCCTAGGTTAGTTTATCTCATAATACTTCCTGATTTCAAGAAACCTAGTTAGGTTGCCTCAGTTGCAAAGCAATGTAATTTCATATTGAGCAGTATAGTTTTTTGCATTTTGTAGACTTAAAATTTCAACACTGAAATTAATGTGCTGAAGTTGGTGTTTTTCCTTTTCGTTTCCAACACTGTATTTTATACTATCTATACAAACAGGAATTTTATTGAAGAATAAAAAGGGCAGTAAATGCATTTCTTAGAGTTTTCATTGCAAAGAATTTAAAATCCACTATGGGAATATAACATTCATTTATACAGTAAATAAACTGTAGGATGAACAAAAATAATTTATGATTTTCTCCTTGCATAACATAATGTAACTAAGGTTTCATATCCTAATTTCCTGCTTTTAAAATTTTTTCCTTGTCAGACTCCTTAGAAAAGATAAAAAGACATGGAATTATGCATCTGGTTCAGTAAGAATCTCAATAGCAAAAAGAAATATTTTTGTTGCATATAAATTATTACTGTATACTATAATGCTTTTTACCTTTAAACCTGGTCACCAGTGAAGAGATCTGCAACCGCAAGCCCAACATGACTGGATCCCTGATTATGTGTCCCCTCTGTGACAAGCTTTGTGAATTTTGGGAGCTCGGAGATTCCTGCTTCAACTCCCGCATCACCTTCCTCTTTGACAACCCCATTACAGTTTTTTTTTCTATTGCCATGTCATTTTGGGGTAAGACCTATGTAGATGCTTGTGTGTGTGGACATTTGAAGAATGTTAAAAACTTAAAATAATATAAGTTTCATGCATGGTTTCTGAAAAACAGATTTACATTTATAATCAGTTAAGCTTCTTACAATGATTTACACTCACCAGGGTGTGACCCATCCTTGGAACAAAATGTCTACTACTTCCAGAGAAAAGCTCAGTTCTGTGTAAAAGGAATGATATACAGTAATTGCCTAGTTTTGTATTTTTTTTATACGGGCAATCATTTGAACTTAGCAAAATATATTTGTTACCAGCCACAATGTTCCTGGAACTGTGGAAGCGGAAGCAAGCAGTCATCCAGTGGCAGTGGGACCTAGAAGGCTATGAGGAGGAGGAGGAGCTGCGTCCAGAATATGAGGAGAAAGTCACCACAACAAGACTCAATCCTGTGACCAACAAACCTGAGCCATATCTGCCATTGTGGAATCAAATCACTCGTTTAGTGGCAGCAAACTCTGTTGTTATTCTCATGGTTAGTACCTGGAAACAAATTTTATGCATTAACCAAAATAATTGGTTTAAATATTTATATTGCTGTTGCATTCTATTACAGTGGAACCTGTACTTATGAGTGTGTTCATGTGCAAGGTTTTCCAGATATGAGCAGTCGCTCAGTCGATTTTTTGCTTCCAGGTGCGAGCAAAATTTCCAGATGCGAGTGGGCCTCAAGGGCCCACTCGCATCTGGTGAGGGGGCTCTTGCTCTTGATCTAGAGAACTGGATCTCAGTTGTTTGTTGGACTAACTTATTGAAACTTGGGCAGTATATCATGGAAAGATGCTTCTTAACCCTTAAATGGTCCAAATAGATCGATGTTCAAATCCATAGTGCTCCAAAAGTAGATCTATGTTTTTTTTACATATTATCAAATATAAAAAAAAAGAAATGTAGATAAAAATTTTTTTACACATTTTCAAATGTAAAAAAAAAAAAGATGATGTACATTTTTTTACATTCAAATGTTGAAAAAACGTATATATACGTTTGGACCGTTTAAGGGTTTATGTACACCAAAAATGAAAGAAATCGGACCATAAATAACAGAGTTCACTTCTCAGCCATTAGCCACCCCTTAGCGGTATATTTGTTTTTGTGGTGTCATTTGATAGAATGGAAGATATATTACAGAAATAGATATGATTTTGATTGGTTTCACAATGAAAAGTACCTTGATATTGAGCTCAAAGTAGCAGAAATGTTCGATTGTTTGGCGATGTTCAAGAGTAAACAAATGACATTACTGTCCATTCCAATATGCAGTCGTGAATGGGTTGACATTATTTATACAGTTGCTACAATAATACAGTAGTCTGCATAACAGTATATCTTCTATTTTTTGTGTGAATAAAAATTACAAATTATTTATATTGTAATAATAATAATATTCCTGGGTGTAGGTTGGTAACAGCAACCGCCAGGGGGGTACTCCCGTCCTCCAAGTGGGTGAAAACAAACCCTGTGTTTGTTTTGCATGATGGTAGATTGCTGGTGTCTTATGTCTTTCTCAAAACCCCGCAAGATTTCAGGTATTTTGCTACTTCTACTTACCTTAGGTCCACAACAAAAACTGTAAAAGCTTATAAAAACACACCCTTTGGTTTTCTGCTATTTTCTTTTTTTCTTGTTCTTTTTTTATTTCCTCTTACCTCCGGGGGGAAGGGGAAACAGAATTTTCCTCCTAAGCCATCGGTTGTAAGGGGCAAAAAAAATGCCGGGGGCAAGGGCTATAACCCCTTCCCCTGTATATATTACTAAATTTAAAAGGAAGAAACTTTTCGTTTTTTCCTTTGGGCCACCCTGCCTTGGGGGGATACGGCCGAGGTTGAAAGAAAGAAAATCTAGGTTTTTCTCCTTTTTTTAAAAAGCTCTTGTTTTTTTTTTATTTCCCATTGTCCATGGGGGAATGGAAAAGAATCTTTCCTCCGTAAGCCATGCGTGTCGTATGAGGCGCTAAAATGCCGGGGGCAATGGGGTGTAACCCCCCCTCCTGATACATTTACAAAAAGAGAAGAAGAAAAAATTTAAAAACTGGGATGGGTTAAATGTGCTGGGTGTGTGCGGATTAAAGAAAAAGATGATGCTGTTTATGAATGAAAAGAAGTTGGTTCCTGGCTCTAAACGAAACAAAGCTGAAGGGGGGGAGGAGAGTTTCAGTGGGGGAAAAAAATGGGATTAAATCGGAGTACTGAGAGAGTTAGAGCAAAGGGAAGGGGGAGCAGTAATGTTAAATGATCATTAGGGAAGGAGAAAAGAAATATGAATGTGTAATTTAAGAAAATTTTGTATTAAAATAACTTTTTATGCGAGAATGGGTCATAATAAGCTGTATGCACCCGGGGGAAGAGAGGAAACAGAGGAGAGGAGGATTTTGGGGATGTTTAAATGAATGATAGGAGCCTTTTAACCAAGTAGAGAGTAAATTTTGGAGGGGCCTGAAAGCTAAAGTAAGAAACTTTTTGAGAGGGTTGGTAGGGAAATTTGGAGTGCCAGGGTAAAAGATAATGGGAGCCCTTTTTTGAACTTTGTTAGAAAGGGGGGTTAGTTTTAG